GCTGTCTCCTTCCTGCAGAAGCAAAGCATGATGGCAGCCGCCCAGGAAGCCCGCTCCACTGTCTGCAGCCCTCCGACTGGCTGCAGCCTTGGAAATAAATGGTCCCGTCAGCTGCCGAGGAGGGTGAGCTCAGGATTTCAGATGAAAATGAAATAAGAGGGAACGCAGCCCAGAAGCAATGTGAGGGAACACACAGGGACAGAAAATCTTCCACTGCAGTGAGACAGATGCTGCAGGAGTCACAATGAGGCGCTGACCTCTGGCAGGGGACATGGCCATGAGCTCGGGCCTGGAGCCTTGACTGGTCCCCACACACCTGGATTTGTGAGCCCTCCAAGGGAGACAGGCCCCAGCCGACAGGCCCACTGCTTTCCTGTCCTCCCCACCCCCACCCCATCCACCACTTATGCTACCGCCTGGCGCTCCCAAGTGACCCCTGCGGCCAGCAGTAACCAGACTGAACTCCTGGTGGGAGGGGCCAAGCGAGCATTCCAGGCAAGCAAGCAGCATGTTATGGAGGAAGGAAGAGGACAATGCCTGCCCAAGGCAGCAACTGTCGGTGCCCCATCACACTGTAACCCCAGACAGCATCTGTCACTGTCTTGCTTTCCTCAGCCCCGAGATGGTGCTAACGACAGCGCCCAGCCCATGGGGCTACTCTAAGAACTAAACTTAAATACCTTACAACACAACCCAGCACTTACTGTTGGAGTCGTTTTATTTTTACAAAGCCCTAGCTTGACATGGATAGGTAGGTGAGGCCGCAGACACCAGCCAAATTCAAACATGCAGCAAGTTCATGGACACTGACCATTGGACAGGCTGGCTTCACAGCCTGACACCCCCGCCCCCTCTTCCACCTCACAAACTCTGGCTCAGAATGCACCCTTTCTCACCCCCTCCCCGCTGCTCCTCCCCCACCCTGAACTGTGCTGAGCACCTGCCACTGCATGCTGCTCAAGGGCCTGTAGGAGCCTGGCAGGTCAAGCAGATAAGCAAAGGGGAACTGGTGCCAGGTGTCCTGCGTTAGGCAGTGGTGAGTGGAACCCTCTCCACACTTAAAGCAGGAAGCTGCTCCCGGCTCCAGACGCTTCTTGCCAGAGAGGAATGTAGACTCGAAGCTGGCACATCTGCGTTTTCAAGGGAAGCCACAAATCCTGCATTTTCCGTGAGAAATCCTAACTTTCACAAATGGACAGACGTGGTGGTAGATACAGCAGCTTGCACTCCCAGAGAAGGGGCTGGCCTCCACCCCAACCCCAGCTTTGGGATCACCAAGTGGGGGTTTTCTCCTAGCAAAAACAAAAAAAAAAACAAAAACAGAGCAGCCCAGCTGGCAGAAGCATGGGAAGTCTAGCCGGAGTTTAGCACAACAGAATCTTTTCAGAGGAGAGAGGAGTGAGGGGAGGGGAGGACTGGAGCCTGGCAGGAGTGGGGAGAAGGCTGAACGTCATCACAGAGGAGGGGGCCAGGAGGATGTCAAGACTAGGGGAGGTGGAGGCACAAAGCACAGCCAGGGAGTGGAGGGAGACGGAAGGGATTGAGCTGGGGCTCCAAGCTCTGCCCAGACTTCCAGCCACAGCTCCAAACTGCAGCTGCACAGCTCAGTAGGTCTCCAGCTCCATCTCGAGAAGGTGCCCAAGCCCTGCTCCAGGCTGGCAGCACCTGCAGACAGCACGCAGCGGGGAGACCATGCACAGCACCCTCGAGGCGGGCACTTCCTCCACCCTGGGAACGGACAGCCTCTTGTAACAGGACGTAAGCATCACAGGGCCCAGAATGCATGTTGGGTTCCAACTGCCTGCTCAGTTCTTAGTATGCAGAAGTGTCTGATAGAATGCTGGTCGAACATAGTGGTCAATGAAAACAAAGAAGAATGACATCGATGAACATGAGAGTTGACCATGCTTTCCAAATGGACTGTTTACCTCAGACAGGGAAAATGAGAGAGCTGTGTGCTCAGAGTTTATGTCCAGTGAACACCCTGCCGGGGGCCAGCTGACCCGCAGAGAGTGACACCCACAATGACCAGAGCCAGCAGAGCCCATGCTGGTCCCAAGGCACAGACACAGAGCACCACCTGTCAGAGCTCAGTGGGCATCTTGGATCATTTCAGAAGTAGAGGCCCTCACTACCCTTTCCCTGTCCCCTGCTACAGCTGAGAGACTCCAGGTGCCCAGGAACTTGTGCCTAGGCTCATGGCTTGTCCGGTGTCACAGGCTGGAGCAGATGCCCTAGAGCTCTCTGCCAAGAACCCCTGGCTGGAAGCAAGTCCAGGGCTGGGATGAAGCAATTGGGCTGTGCCAAGAAATTCAGTCATCAAGTTCAATAATTTTGATACAATATTCTAAAAAAAAATGAGCACAAACATTTCAGGATGCAAACAATACCTCATTTTAGCATGCCTCAGCCATACCCACTGCATCCAGACTTGGGGTCTGGACCAGGAGTGTTGGGGATACAACTGGGTCCTAAAAGAGCCAGATGGATGCGGAACTCCAATGGAAGGTGACTCCAGGCACCAGCTTGTAGCTTGGGAAGTGGGCGACACAGAAGGGGGAGGGGCAGCAATTCTACAAAGAGCTGGGCCCCTTAAGCACCCTCAGAGATGTTTTGCATGGACAGTCAATTTCGAACAAAACACCGTCCTCTCCCCAGCCCCAAACCCTCACCAGCTCTGAGCAGGTTCATCTCCAGGCAAGGAAGGGTGGATGAACTGTTTGTGCAGCTCCCAAAGGAAAAATATCCCCAGGCCTTCATGACTTCCTGACAGCCAGCTATGAATGGGAGGGAAAGCACAAGCTTACAGCGGACAGCGCCTTCCTTTTAAGGCATTTCCTAGGCCATGGCGCCACCTTCTCCCGCCCCCCACTCCCCGGGTTAACATCAGCAGTTTGTTTTCCAGCAAAGGGCTCAGACCTGGGTGTCAGACTGGTCTGGGGAAAGACACCGCATTGCTATTTACCACTTGACCCAGGTCAAGAGGAAATGCCACCAAGGGCCTGGCAGGACCTTACAGGACATACTTAGGACTAAAACACAGATGCAGGCAAGGGCTGGGGGGTGAGACCCAGCGCCAGCCAGCATGCTCCAGGGGATGACACAGGTTAGCACTTCCCAGGGTCTCGAAAGAAAAGCTTTATGTGAAATTTCATCATTTTCAAAGGCCAACAAGTAAAGAAACAAAAAGAAAAACTTAAATCAGTAGGGACAAGTAGAGCAACTCCGCATGACCAAGCCCACTTACTGTCTCCGTTTGGCATCTGATGCCTACAAGTCACCCAGCACCTGCCTGGTCCCCAGTAGGTGCTCAGCAAGCACCCACAGCTCCTGTCTTTTTACAAAGCTTTCCCAAGCATCCCCAGCAGCCACTGCCACACAGCAGCCTGGAGAGGGCTTGCTGCTTGCCTCCCCAGGGGGAAACAAGGCTGGGAAGCACAGAGCAGAACATCTGGACTGCTCTCCAGGCGGGAGGAACCACCAAGTGGGGAAACCTTAAAAGGATCTGGGAGAATTTTATTGGACATGGCTTAGCAAAGACTAAGGAGATCAAGCCATGACTTGAGCCAGACGTGGACAGGCAGGGCAGACAATGCCAGGGACCCTATGGGTCCACAAGCCACCGCATCACCTGGCACACTCTGACAGGCACAGGCCCCCTCTGCACTGGGGACTGCTTCCTGCCTAGGGCAGCCCACAAAGACCCACTGCTCTGCTGGAAGGGAAGCTGGAGAGAGGCCCTGGGGTCAGGCCAGCCTAGTTGGCTGCTCAAGCCCCCAGGATCAGCGGGTTGCAAAGGGAAACCAGGCAACCAGCCGCAGCAGGCTGCCCTCTAGATCAAATCCACTTCACAGGGCTGCGCCCTGCTCTTCCAACACGTGCTGAAGAAGCCTGTGCTGGGCAGGTCTGTCAGTGTGGAAGGGGCTGGCGAGGGGGGAGTGCGCAGACCCGACTCTAAGGGCACAGATATCAAGCAGGTGGAAAAGGCAGAACTGGCCACAAGACCGGAGGGTTCTCAACCTGCCCCCCACCCCAGGCCACCTGCCCAGCTGGAACCCAGTTTCCAATATTGGGCTCCTCCTACCAGTTGACTGAAGGCCACTGTCATTCTTCCCTCTTTCCGGCACCCCCCAAATTGGGAGTCCTGGCAGGTGGTGCGGTCTTGGCCCATTTCCATCACCTCTTTCGCACCGCTGACCCACTTTGCTGAAGGAATGGATGACCCTTTTTTCTCTGCGTGGAACCCTGGCAAGGGGTGGGCAACCCCACCTCCTGAGCCTGCAGGGTTTTTCTGAGTCCTGGGGTGGTGGGAGGCGGCGGCAGAGGGTAGCATAGGTGCAAAGGCTATAGAGCTAAGCCCGGCAGGCGGCAGCCTCGCCCCCACAGAGCCCCGCACCAGGCCCTGGCGGCTTGCCACTCCCACCAATTCAGACCCCGTGCGGAATTTCAGATCGGCAGCCTGAGCCCCTGGTCACACTGCGGCTTGGAGGACGCGAAGGCCGGGACCCTACAAACTCCAGGGCTGAGCAGGCCAGGACCTGCAGAGAAAGTTACCTGGCATGGCCCAAGTGGTCCCTAAGAAGCTGACGCGGCGCGGGCGGTCCCAAGAGAAAGCTTGCTACAGGCTGGCGGCCGCGACCACCTGAGACGTGGCACCTGAGCCTGCGCTGCAAGGGGAACTCCCGCCGCCCCTGGGGAAAGCAAGTGACCCCACCGGAGGGCACCGGGGGACAACAGAGCAGCGGCGCGCGGGGAGCCAGCGGCAAACAGAGGGGACGCAAGGGCCTGGAGATGGCCATGGAGCGAGGGCTCCCCTCGCGCGGCCCGAGCAAGCGCGCTACAGTCCCGGGATCAGAACTCCGGGATCCTGAGCCAGGCACCTGGACATCCCGAACGGGCTTTGTGGCTGCCTGGGTCCCAGCAGCGCGCTCCGCTGCCCGCCCACTCCCCGCCCCGAGCGCAGTCCCCTCCCTCGGTCCCGCCTCCTGCCCCGACTCCCTCCCTCCGCGGCTGCAGCGCCGTGCTCCCGGCGCACTCGGAGCCCGGCTGGGACCTGGACGCGGAGGCGGGGCGGACGAAGGACCGAGTGCAGTAGTCGAGCACGGCCTCGGGGACCAAGTTTGGCCGCGGCTCCCGGAGACCGAGCGGGCGTCCCCGTCACTTGCAGTCCCCTCCTTCCACCTCGCATCCTCGCCCCGGACCCACTAGCTGCCGGTGAGGGACGCAAGCCACGGCCGGGCCAACGCCGCGACGGGAACTTGAGGTGAGAACTTTGCGCTCCGCAGCCTCGCCGGGCGGGATTGGACCCCGCGCCTGCAAAGTCGGGCACCAGGGAGCTGCACGTGGCGTGAGTTGGACTCCCCTGCGGGGACCGCAAAACCTGCCCCGGGGGAAGGCTCGGGCGATGGAGAACCCAGGAGCAGCCGCGGGTGGCATTGTGGAGAGCGCTTGCCAGCGCACTGTGCGGGTCTGGAAGGTGGCTTCCAGTGGGGAGAGGGGTGAGAGGGGAGTGGTGGCCGGGGAGGCGGGGAGGGTCTCCGGAATGTGGGATGCGCAGCGCGGGGACGTTCTCCTTGCACGCACCCCGGCTGGAGCTGCTTCCTGCCTAGGGGCAGAGGTTTTTGGGGGTCGCGACTCTGGGGTGGGGGTGGGGGCGCGCCTGTGGCTCGTGCATTCGTTCCAGCCTCAGGTACCGAGTGGTGCATCCTCCCCAGCGGGCCTTGGTGGGAGCGTCCATGAACCGTGAACTCCACAAGCGTTTGTTGAGTGCCTGCTGACCTGGACGCTGAGGGGCACGGCCGCCCCAGGGTCAGGAGAGGCAGTGGTCTCAGCTTCGGGGACTCAATACCAAAATACCAAACAAGTCTGGAGCCTTTGATGGGAAAGAAAAGAGTTTACTCATTCATTCTTTCATGGATTGGACAAAGATGAGTTGAGCACCTGCTTATGGCGACTCCCCATACCAAGTGCCCTTTGCGCTTTCATCTAACCAGTAGCTATGGAGCTGGTCCTGGACAAGGATCTGTGAGCAAGAAGAGAGGCTGACTGGGACAGAGATAGGGGGGACACAGCCTGCCTGGGCAGCCATCTCTTAACCCCCCCGCCCCCCCCCTCACACACATGCACTCAGGGCTATGTGTAGCAGCTACTGCTGGAGCACAGGAGGTTCGAACTGGGTACTGGACATAAAGGGGAGGAAAAAGCTCCTTGGGGGAGGATGGTGATGGGGTAGAGGGTGATGGGGATCCATCTCCCCAGGATTGCACTAAAGCTGTCCCCTCTGTGTGTATTTTCTTAAACACCAAAAGGGCTCCGGTGTCCAAGGCACCTAGGTAGGTGTGCTGACACCTGGGATAAGGGGTGGGGGGAGCGGCAAAGCGGAGGGTGCAGGAGCTGGGCTGAATCACTGCGGGAGAGCAAGGGAGGAAGGGGTATACTGCTTCTGTCAGGTCAGTTCACTAGGATCTCTGACTTCCCTCGTACAGCTTCAGGGGGCTCAGGGCAGGACACCTCCAGAACACGTATGGCAGGACCTGGTGTGGCTAACATATTGGCTCCTGGCCAGGGTGTGGCATCTTTCTGGAGTGGGCTGCTCTGACTGTGCCAGAGGCACCTGCTGCGTGGAGAGGGAGGGAGGTGAGGATGCAAGGGCAGGTATCAAGCTGTGGCCCCTGGGGACAGCCCTCCTGGGTGCTGGTCTAAGTTTGTCCGTTCCATGGAAAGATATCTGTTGTGGGACCCACTGCAAGCCCAGAGGGAACCGCAAGTGAGCTGCAAATGAGACAGCCTTGGTTCCTCTCTCTCGAGACTTGAGGAGCCAGGCTGTGGCTGCCTCAGAGCCTGATCAGGGGCAGGTCAGGGAGTCCCTGTGAACCTGACCCAGGCTGGGCTTGGAGAGCAGCAGCGTATGGAGGTTGTGTCCTGGAGCCGGAACTAAGGACTTCTCCCCCTGGGACTCCCGTGGAGAGTCTTGCCTGAGCTCCATTCTCCACATACTCTTTTCAAGTGGGTGATAAAGAAGAGTCAACATTTCAGGTTGCCAGAGATCTGGGACTGCGTTCTTGGTTGATTCATTAAACTTGGAAACGGAGCCCTTGGATGGGGAGACCATGGCTAACCAGCATCCTCAGAAAGAAGAGAAAACAAGGGAGGGCCGGAGGCAGGCAGGCGGTGAGCACAGGTTGCCACCAGTTGTCGCCAGGGCAGCCCAGCCTGCGCTGGGTCCAAATAATTAGATATGCGATGGATTTGCTCCATATCTGAACTGTGTCCAGGCCTGTCCTCTGTCCTGTGGTGACTTTTGCTTCTTACCTGCTCTTCCAAAGGTAGGTAGTTGGTTCAATGACGCTTCCCTCGTGATCAAATGTCCTCTGCCACCGCGTCCTGCTCCCCAGGGGACCCTGTTGGGTACCCATGTGTTCTCAGATGTTGAGCTACAAGGAGGCAGACAGGAAACAGCCTCCATGTATCTCCCGGCTGAGGGCAAGCCCTGCCTACTTCTATCTTGCCAACAGCAGAGGGGTCCCAGAGGCGGTCCTTTCTATGGTGGGAGTGGGGGGAACTCTGACTCTCTCCATTTGGGGGCAGGTGAGGGATAGAGGGAGAAGCACAGCTCTCAGCACAGCATCCCCCTCCAGGGGTGTGGCCCCAGTTTCCAGGAAGCAGATCTGAAGTCCAAAATGATTGGATTGTGTCGAGGAGGGAGAGCAAGTGGCTGAGAAAGACAGATTGCCCACATGGGCACAGCCTCTCCTGGAGGCCCAGCAGGCCAGGACCTGGGCCAGGCTAATGGCTGGATCTGTTTTGATTAACGATTTAATTGGGGATTAATGCAGCATGACCTGCCTCTGAGTCAGCCCAGCTAGGAGCCCTAATCCTGACAGATGGGGACTGCCACACTGACAGTGAACCACGCAGTGTCTGGGGAGGAGCAGGTGGGGAGAGGGGGCCTGGGACCCCTGCCTGGAGGGAGTGGTGACAGGTGAAGCAAGGAGTAGCAGCAGGAAGCCATGGAGCTACCCTGGGCAGAAATTCCTGGCAGGTGGTCTTAGCTCACAGGTCTCCTCTAAGAGGTCAGAAGTCCAAAGTACACTAAAGCATGGTGTCTCTGGGAGAGGAGCCATTTCCTGGCCTCCACTATGGCTACTCCAGATAGCCGCCATTCGTTGCCCCTGCGCCCTGCAGGGCTGGGCTGCCACCTGTGCTGTCCTGCTCACATCTTCCCAGAAGCCCTAGTGGCAACCTAGGACTGAACCAAGTGACAAGGTCTGGTGATGTCTTGCACTGTTCTTGTGTAGCTGTGAAACAGACGTGAAGGGGTGTCCCCTATCCTGGGCAGCTGCCTTCTTCCCTCCATCCCAAAAGACTTCCTAAAAGCCTGTCTACGGAAAATAGATTGGAGATCCCGCCTCCTGGCGCGAACAGCGGCCAGAGGCTATAGAATGCTGGGGTCAGAACTGCGGCTTGGATCCCACAGAGCCATGCCTGGTCTGGCTTTACGTTGCCACTTTGTGGAGCTTTGCTCTCCCCATCAGTACCATCGGGGTTTTTAAGGCCAGGCTCGCACAGCACAAGCACCTGTCACAGTGCTTGTCCCTGGGGAGTGTGTTGGCCAGTGAGGCTGTGGCTGCCGTGGTTTATAACACAGTGCAGGCACTGCTGTCTTCAGCAGCCCTCCTCCCAAAAGACCACCGAGAGATGCTCAGAAGGCACAGGTACGAGATAGGAAAAACAGAGTAGAAGGAGCCCAGCGGTTTGTGGAAACCCTACGGGGATATCCTAGCAGTGGTCTAGCAGCTGAGACAAGGCAGGTTAGAGGAGTTTCCAGAATTCTTGTGTCCTGGTTGGAATGCAGCTCCTGTGTGCAGTGCAGCTCCACCCTCCAGATCCTCCTGGCAGTGCTGTGAGATAGCCATGTCCTTCGGGGCTTGGAGAGGCTCAGGGAAGCCAGAAGGCAAGAGTGTGGGTGGGTGGCTCAGGCCACAGAGGTGGCGGCAAAACCCCACACATGCCCCACTGACTGGCCTCGGGGCAAGGTGCCCCTCCAGACCTCCAGTCAGGCACCATGATTGCTCATCTTTGGACATGTGCACTCAGCCCAAGTTGGAACTTGTTAGCATCGTCTTCCATCCAAGAGGAAGGATGAGATGTCACAGGGGAGCCGTGAGTGGGTCTCTGGGCTCCCAAAGGAGCAGGTGAGGAGGGGGTGCCCAGCCAGATAGCGCCTCTCACCAGCCACCAGGGTTCTGCTTCTCTGTGAAGCTCTCCCCTAAGTGGCACCCACAGAGCCTTCCAGAGCCCCGGGAGCACCAGGCAATAGGGTGGAAGACGGAGGGCTCCCGCTAACACCCAGAGCAGCTCTTGTACTTGTAGTCCCTCTAGCCCTCGAGAGCTCCAGGTGTTCTTGGCAGCTCCCTTTTCTCTGGTTTTGTGCCCTTCATGTCCCGCATTGGAGCCTGGATAAAGCCCAGGGTGATGAGAGCTGCGGCCCCCACTTCTCAGGTCTTTTTCTTGCTGCCTGGGGCCAGCCCAGCTGGACATCTTCCTCCTCTCTTCCAAGGCTGCCTCTTCCCCTGCCCTTGCAGGCACCTTCCACTCGGTTGCTAGCAATCCTTAAGTGTGCTTCAGTCCTTGCAAAAGCTGTGAGGCTGTGTGTGCTCATTTGCAGGAATGGCACAGTGTGGCAGCTTCTCTCCTTTTCCACTCAGCTCCACGTTTTCAAGACCAAAACATGTTGCCAAACCTGCATCTTGTTCATGGCTTCTGACTCCTGTGTGTAGTCCTGCCATCTGTACTTGCCACAACTCACTCATTCGCTAAGAGTGGCCACGAGGGGGCCCCACAAGGACACATTGCTGTGTCCTGTCCCTCTCTCAGCCCTGCCTGCCCGGGGCAGGCACTGAATGAAGGATTTGAATGCAAAGAATGCAGTGCCGACCTTGCCTTCTGCAGCCCCGGGGCTCTGCATGTGGGAGACAGGCCCAGGAGTAGGATTCCTAGCACACGAGACACAATGGCCTCCATGTCCCTCAGCACTGCCTGGAAACTTTCCCGGGGTGTCCCAGGCTGTCCTGCCATGGAGTGCTGGGTTTGGGCTTCAGTGGGTCAGATCAGAAAAGGAGACGCTGTCGGTTGGTGAAGCTGTCTGTGGTAGATGACAGGCCCACCCAGGCATCTATTGAAGGCTCACCATGAAGCAGATGTGTTCACCAGATCATCTGTCTTCAGCCTCACCATTGTGGGAAGAGGCAGGAGCTATTCACAGCCCCATTTCCCAGATAGAGAGACTGTGTCACAGAGGTACGTGAGGACATGAGCCCAGAGCTCCTGCCTTCAAAGCCAGCAGGCCCTGAGCCTGCCCCAGCCAAGGAGCACCAACTCCTTTCCCACTGGAGTGAATGGCCTGAGCTGGTGATTGGCTGTCAGAGGTTTGCAGTGGATCTGCCTCGGCTAAGAGGGCCACCAGGTTCATCGTCAAAGCCAGTGGTGGCCTGGAGTCCATCTGTGCTGGATCCCTTGCACACCATCTCCTTGCCGTGGAGTCTCAGGAATTAGGACTGGGGAGTAGACAACCATTTTGTCTCTCAGTTGCCTCCAGAGGTGTCTTCTTGCACTGACCACCTGGACTGGATGTGACACAGCCTTGGCAGTGACACTGCCCAGGCCCCTGGCTCTGGGTTTCACAACAGCTCTGCAAGCCTAGACCCTGGCTTCCCCACAGGAAGGTCAGAGCTGCACAAACACACTCATGCACTTACAAACCCACATATTCACATACATGTTCACTTACATACAGAATCACATTCACACATATGTACACACACTCATACAGAGAGACACACTCATGCACAGACTCACATATACACACATTCACACTTACACATACTTTCAGGTCATCTTTGGTCATGCATCATTGTCCCAGCCCTCATCCCACACACAAGGAACTGCTCTTCTGCACGATTCACCAAAGTGCCACCTGCTTGTCACCCCGTGAAGGTACTGCCCTGGATCTCTTGCCTTCAGCCTGCACCAATCCCCCCCTTACCCCCACCCCCCCGTGCATCTCCCATCTACCCAGGTCTTCAGCCCCCTTGCTTTGTTCAGCCTCAGCATCTCTTTTCACAGTGACTACAGTGGCTTCCACCATCTATTCTCTGCCCTTTGCCTAAGACACCTCCCAGCTCGGGTATTACATCTAGGAAGCTAGCTCCTTCCAAGGTCCCCTCCTCCAGGAATCCCTCCAGAACCCTCCAGCCAGCGCTGCCCATGCCCCATGGTCATCCTTCTCCATCCATTGTCTCGCTCTGTTCCATCACAGCCCCCCACTGCAGCCTCACACTGCTCCTCTGTTGTATTTAGAGAGGTCTCCCCCAGTGAACGTCGGCTTCATGAGCCCGGGTGGGGTTTGTCTCATCGAGGACTGACACACACAATGGGAGTGGTACGAAACCATTGAACAAATGAATGAATATTAGAATGAATGAATATGAGACCCCCTGGGGCCTCTCACCTCTGCTGTGGCAGTCTCCTTGTCAAATGGTTTTGTTTTCCTGAGGCCCTCAGTGGCAAAGTCCCTGCAACGCAGCGTGCTCTAGGGCCCCACCTGAGGTCAAATGAGAGACCAGCATGCCAGGCTGGCTACCAAGCAGTATCACTATCCAAAACTGCCCAACGTGGGGCACTGTTTGATTGATGAACTTGACTCTGACGTTGAAGATGCCCCCAGGAACTGTGTCTATTCTCCGTGTAACACTTCCCAGAACCCTGGCCTTGCAGGGTGCTCAGGATCCAGGAAGCACACACAGCGCAATTTTGGAACCGGCTGCTGAGCCCCGGGGCGGGAAGTGGCTGCAGGGAAGCTGAAGGCTGGAGGGGCTCGCTGAGTCCTTGGGCCTTGGTGGGAGAGGTGCGCTATTTGCCTCCACCTCCATTCTTGCCAGATGCAGTCGCTGCTGCTTCTTGCTGCTGCATTTGGCGGCAAAGATAAAGCAGCGAGCTGAGAAAAAAATTTTACCCTCTGAGAGCAGCGCTTGAAACACTTGTTCCCACGCCTCCGAGGGATCCTGGCAAGCTTTGCCTGAGGAAATGGGTGCCAATTTTAGGTGAAGTTAAAAAACGCACTCGGTGCTCTGAGATCAAACCGTTTTTATTTCAAACACAGGTGCACCCAAGTTGTCCCAATCCCAGTCTGGGAAACAGGCTTTCTCCAGAGACGAATGAGTAGGGGAATGGGTTTTCCTGCGAAAGCCCCTGTCAAAACCTTGTCTCGCATCCCCACGGGGGTGCGGTGGGGTGCCCCTGCTCCTGTCCGCAGCTCAGAGTGACCCCACGGCATTGGGACCCGGTTTTCCTGGGATGGCCGGGCCATGTGGATGCCCCCTTGCTTCCAGCAGGGACTGACGGGAGAGCGATGGTTATCTTCTAAAACAAAGCACCAGACTCTCACTAATTCCACCTGTATCAGCTTGATGCCAAGGGAACAGCCTGCAGGACCCACAGGGCCACGAAGGGAAGTAGAGTCAGCATGAAGAAGGCGATGGGAAGGCTGGGGGCTGTGGTGGGCTGGAGGACAACTGTTTCTCAGAAGGAATTTGAGCCACGTGTTGCCAGATATTCTGAATTTTTAAGAAAAGCCAAAAATATGGATTTAGCTTTTTTTTTTACATGGAATTTCTCAATTTTTGAAAGCTTTTCTGAGCCAAGCAAAATATTTGCTGGATTTGCGGTGGAACCAGACGCAGGCCCTGAGTCGGTGAGGAGGAGGAGAACTCGTTCCGGTCGTGCTAACCCTCTGCTCAGAGAGCTGGGTGGCACGGAGTCCCACGAGCACAGGGACCTGGACACGCCCGCCTCTGTAAGCAGGGTCCTCCCTGAGAGACACTTCCTGGGGCCCCAAGGAGCAAGGCCTGCTAAGAGGGAGCGGGGCCTTCACCCAATAGCACCCACACCCGGCCGGCAGTCAGTGCCATGGAGATGGGGGCCCCGCTTGTCTAGGGTGGGGTGGACAACTTAAGCCATCTTCCGCTGCCATCTCAGGTACATTAGCAGGGAGCTGGATCGGATGCAGAATGGCTGCCACTCCAACTAGTACTCCATTATGGGATGCCAGCATCACAGGTGGCCCCCGAGGTTAGGGTTATGAAGTGAAGGGCAGCTCAGGCTGCCGTAAGAAAACACCACAGGATCCAGCACTGTGGCTCCACAGGCTAATCCTCCCCCTGCAAGCACCAGCAACCCATATGGGCACCAGTTCATGTCCTGGCTGTTCCATTTCTGATCCAGCTCTCTGCTTATGGACTGGGAAAGCAATGACGGTGGCCCAAAGCCATGGGGGATGTGGAAGAGGCTCCTGGCTTCTAGCTTTGAATTGGCTCAGCTTCAGCCACTGCAGTCATTTTTATGAACTAAAGGGTGGTGGATCTTTGTCTCTCTCTTCTTCACTCCATAAATCTGTCTTTCTAATAAAAACAAAGAAATCTTTTTAAAAGAAAAAGAAAACAGTGCAGGCAGAGTGGGCTGAGCTGGCCTCGGCTTCTCCAGGTTCTGGAGGCCAGAAGAGGGGACAGCAGATGCCTCCCTGCCCTTGTCAGGGCCGGCCGCCTTCCGCGGGTGCAGACTCCCGTGTCTGGCTGAGTCCTCCCCAGACCCAGAAGGTTCTATGCCGTCTTTTCCTTTTTGTTGTTTGAAAGACAGATATACAGAGAAAAGGAAAGACAGAGAGAAAGATCTTCCATTCGCTGATTCACTCCCCAAGTGCTCGCAATGGCCAGAGCTGAGCCGATCCAAATTCAGGAGTTTCTTCTAGGTCCCGTATGCAGGTGCATGGTCCCACGGCCTTGGGTCATTTTCTACTGCTTTCCCAGGCCCAAAGCAGGGATCTGGATGGGAAGTGGAGCAGACAGGACACACACTGACACCCATGAGAGATGCTAACACATGCAAGGTGAGGATTTAGCTGTTGAGCTATCACACTGGGCCCTTTCTCTTCCTCTTTTTTTTTTTTTATTGTTTATTTTTATTGGAAAGTCAGATATACAGAGAGGAAGAGAGACAGACAGGAAGATCTTGCATCTGATGATTCACTGCTGTAGTGATCACAACAGCCAGAGCTGAGCTGATCTGAAGCCAGGAGCCTGGAGTCTCTTCCAGGTCTCCCACACAGGTGCAGGGTCCCAAGGCTTTGGACCATCTTCGACTGCTTTCCCAGGCCACACGCGAGGAGTTGGATGGGAAGTGGGCCTCCAGGATTAGAACCGGCATCCATATGGGATCCGGGCATGCAAGGGGAGAGCATTACCCACTAGGCTACCATGCTGGGTCCCTTCTCTTCCTGTATTAACAGGAACACCAGTCCTGCCAGGCCAGGGTGGTTCAAGTCGCCTAACCTCACCTACGCCATATTCTCTCCTAAAACCCTACACACTACATCTTCTCCTAAAACCCAAGGCAGTGGTAGTTGGGGCCTCAGCCTCAGCGGGGGAAGGGTGGGACCCAGCAGAAGGCGTACCCAGGGCTCACGGCGTGTCTCCCCACTCTCTCCCCAGGTCCCAGGGGGATGTGAAGGCCCAAGATGACCCTTTTACCAGGAGACAACTCCGACTACGACTACAGCGCCCTGAGCTGCACCTCGGAAGCCTCCTTTCATCCGGCCTTCTTCCCGCAGGGCCAGTCCATCAAGGGAGTGTTCTACCGCAGGGCGCAGCGCCTGCGGCCCCAGGACGACCCCCGCCAGGTCAGCCCGCCCGGCGGGGACCGGCGGCGGCAGATCATCATCAACGTTGGGGGCATCAAGTACTCGCTGCCCTGGACCACACTGGACGAGTTCCCGCTGACGCGGCTGGGCCAGCTCAAGGCCTGCACCAACTTCGACGACATCCTCAATGTGTGCGACGACTACGATGTGACCTGCAACGAGTTCTTCTTCGACCGCAACCCGGGGGCCTTCGGCACCATCCTCACCTTCCTGCGGGCCGGCAAGCTGCGGCTGCTGCGCGAGATGTGCGCGCTGTCCTTCCAGGAGGAGCTGCTCTACTGGGGCATCGCCGAGGACCAGCTGGACGGCTGCTGCAAGCGGCGCTACCTGCAGAAGATCGAGGAGTTCGCCGAGATGGCCGAGCGCGAGGAGGAGGAGGAGGACCCACCCTACAGCGACAGCCACGACAGTGACGGCCTGGCCCCAGCCACCACTGGCCGCCTGGGCCGCTGCATGCGGAGACTGCGTGACATGGTGGAGAGGCCGCACTCGGGGCTGCCGGGCAAGGTGTTCGCCTGCCTGTCCGTTCTGTTTGTCACCGTCACTGCAGTCAACCTGTCGGTCAGCACCCTGCCCAGTCTCAGGGAGGAGGAGGAGCAGGTAAGAGACTTGCTGAGGTGAGAGAAGCTGGTGAGGATCCGAGGCAGCTGGAGCCCTCTGCATGGCATCCCCAGTGTCCCCTGCTGTTAGCCTCCCTGTCACCAGGAGATGCTGCCTGGTCATTGGCTGTGCCTGTCCTGCTCTCCACTCTGCCCGCAGCTCTGCTCTGCCTGGAACAGGGTTCGGCATAGATGAGCACTCAGTCACTGGCTTAGTGTGATTTTAACGAATGTCTTTATTTAATGATAGAGCACCAGGTTAGCACTGTGGTGTGGTAGGTAAAGCCTGTGCCTGCAGTGCTGACATCCCACAGGGCACTGGTTCAAAGTCCCAGCTGTTCTACTTTGGGTCTCCCTCCCAATGTGCTAGGAAAGCAAGAAAAAAAAAAAAAAAATCCAAGTCCGTGGACTCCTGCACCCATGTGGGAAACATGGAGCAGGCTCCAGGTTTTCGTAGCTCTGGAATGGGGCCAACTCTGGCCGTTGCCAGCCATTTGCAGAGTAAATCAGTGGATGGAAGATCCTTCCCTAACAACAGTCCGGCATGCCTCCTGCAGTCTCTGAAATCACTGAAGCAGAGTCTCTCTGCGTTACCCAAGGGAAGTCCAGGTCCAATTTGTGTCCTTAATCACACAGGGGCAAGTCCCCAGGTCCCAGGGACTTTCAGAAAGTTCACAAGAGAAAGCACACGTGGATCTCAGTCTGCTCCAAAATACACATCTAGTCATTCCGCTTCCCACACACTTTTTGAACCTTTTGCCCCAATTCAGACTTGAGTGCCAACATTCCAAAGTCAGGTGGTGTGCATACAAAAATTCTCATTTTTAGCTTCTTGCATTTGAGTGCCTTCTGTACGCAGGCTCCACAGGGAAGGCCGTGTGACTATGATCAGGACAAGTTTTCCAACCTCAAGAGGCTCCAAGTCCATCCCGGTGGAGGTATGATGGGACACAAGACCCCACCGTACACCTCCACGACCATGAGCGTGAGCCTCAAGAGGCCCTGTGTGAGACGTGCAGGGACATGGCTGGGACTTCTTGGAGCAGGCACAGTCCAGGAAGCCTTCCTGAAAGAGAGGATTTGCCAATCTCAAGGTGTCCCCCCACCCTCACCCCTGCCTGTAACTAACAGCTCCTATCTCCAGCCTCCTAGAGAACTCTGAGAGCAGGACCCACGGAACCCGCTCGTGCCCAAGAATCCACATGCCACCTGAGCTAGAACCCTCTTCATGCTCCCTCTCTGCCAATGGCCCCTGCTGAGAACAGGGCCTGGGTGCACTGCCTGCGGTCTTGTTGGACCCCAGACTAGGCGGACGAGCTGGCAGCCTGCAGGCCAGACCCCACTAGAGGATGTCCTTTCACGGCATGTCAAGAATGAATGAGCACCTGCACTTGCATCAGCCTTTCGTCTGTTTCACCAATACCTCTCAGCAGATATTCTACTGGAGGCTGGGGCTCTCCGGCTGCTCTGCACCACGAGGCAGCCTGAGCCTGAACTGGCATGCACAGGAGGCAGAGGGTGGGAAGTGGGGCGCAGAGATCACAGGGTACTAAGCATGACCACCAAGATCTCCAGTGGATTCTGTGTCCACGTGCTTGCGTGGCCCCTGTCTGCTCTGCATTTGCAGCCCCATCTGAGTTCCGTGCAAGGTTTTGCCACTTGATACCCAGGACAGGCCTGCATCAAACACCTGTTGTGCGCCTGGCCTTTCTGGGCAGCCAGTGGCTTGCACAGAGTGCCCTGTCCCTGGGACTGGAATCTGCCAGGGCAGTTGGGGGGGCGAGGTGTAGGCAGTAAGCCTGAGAAGTAGTAACTTACAACACCTCCTGAGAAAGGATGAGCTCGAAGAACCGGTAGCTCAGGATAAGAAAAGTTGGGGTGCAAAAAAAGATGAGTTTTCATCAGAGAGGTTTCCCTGGAAAACCAGGAGCTGAAGAGCGGAAGGCAGGAGCCACACGGGTGTTTGTGGGTTGGGGAGACCAGTGAGGCTGTGGCAGGAGAGCCGGTGTGGTAGGAGAACGTCAGAGAAGTGATGGATGGACAGATAGCTCAAGATTTTGTCTCCAGGTCCCTCTAGAGCTGTGTGGGTCCTGAGTGGAGGAGAGCCATGGTCCATGCCCTGGGTGTGCCCCTGGCTGGTGTACAAAGTGGGTGGTAGGCAGGGGGGAACCCAGGAGGAGGGAGCCATGGCTGTGCAGGTGGGCATGGCCAGGGACAGAGAAGTGGTTTGCGCTCTAAGTTGATGGACAAAAGGAATTCAAGGACAAAGCACTTGTTCCAGGGGTCTGCTGGGAGCAGGGAGAGTGGCACTGAGGGCCTCCCCACTCCTCAGCTGGTCTCCTGCCAAGGATTTGGTGGGCAGAGGAGCTGGGTGGGGTTTAGCTCGTAGGAGGTGCCCTTAGGGACACAACCTAACCTCGACCCACCTGTCACCTGTCCCCCTCCACCAGGGCCAGTGTTCCCAGATGTGCCACAACGTGTTCATCGTGGAGTCGGTGTGCGTGGGCTGGTTCTCACTCGAGTTCGTCCTGCGCTTCATCCAGGCGCCCAGCAAGTTCTCCTTCCTGCGCAGCCCACTCACGCTCATTGACCTGGTGGCCATTCTACCCTACTACGTCACGCTGCTGGTGGACGGTGCGGCCGCCGCAGGCCGCCGCAAGTCCGGCGCCGGCAACAGCTACCTGGACAAGGTGGGGCTGGTGCTGCGCGTGCTGCGGGCGCTGCGCATCCTCTACGTGATGCGCCTGGCGCGCCACTCCCTGGGGCTGCAGACGCTGGGGCTCACAGCGCGCCGCTGCACGCGCGAGTTCGGCCTCTTGCTGCTCTTCCTGTGCGTGGCCATTGCGCTCTTCGCCCCGCTCCTCTACGTCATCGAGAACGAGATGGCCGACAGCCCCGAGTTCACCAGCATCCCCGCCTGCTACTGGTGGGCCGTCATCACCATGACCACCGTGGGCTACGGCGACATGGTGCCGCGCAGCACGCCGGGCCAGGTGGTGGCGCTGAGCAGCATCCTCAGCGGGATCCTTCTCATGGCTTTCCCGGTCACGTCCATCTTCCACACCTTCTCGCGCTCCTATCTGGAGCTCAAGCAGGAGCAGGAGCGGGTGCTGTTCCGCAGGGCGCAGTTCCTGCTCAAGACCAAATCCCAAGACAGCGACATCCTCTTCGAAAGTGCCTCCTCCGATGGCAGAGACCCGCGCTGAGCCCGAGCCACCGCAGCGCTTCTGACCACGGGGAAGGACGTCTGGCTTGCAGCTGGGGGAGGGAGAGATGGGTGCCGGCTCCGCCCTGGCTGCGCTCCCTCCCAGCCCCAGCCCCTGCCCCTGCGTGTCACTCCCGCCCAGAACACGGCTTCCCTTCCCACCCTGTGACCACTGTGCCCAGAAAGGACTGGCTGTGTGGGGCTGCGGGTAGAGGAAAATAGAGCAGCCAACACCAACACGCCCTGTCCGTCCGTCTCTCTGTGTATCCACCTCGTCTGTTGTGCTCATGCACTGTGTCCCAGGAAAGGAAACAGGAAGGGGAAGAAAATGCCTTCCCTGGAGCTGCTGGAAAAGACGGAGTGGGCAGAGTGGGCAGACCCACGGGCCAGGGGCTGCCAGGACCAGAACTGGGTCCAGGGTCCCTCAGGCCAGGGGCCCCCGGGAGGGGGGGGGCGTGGAGGAGTAGGGTGAGCTGGCCTAGAGGCTGTTGCCTCTCCATCTGACATTCTGTCTCCTTCCTGCCTCCAGCCCTTCTCCTCCCTTCTTCCCCTTTCATATTCTCTCTCTCTCCCACCTTCTATTCTGTTTGATGTCTTACAGTTTGTTTTCAGACTTTGAAGGCACCCCTCACCGCCTGTGAGCATCACTGACCACAAGATGGAATGGCTCGACCAAGTCTCAAAGCCAGGGTGTGTTTTGGTTTAGCACGTGAGGGGAAGGGAAAGGTTTTATGCAGCTTGCCTGAATCTAAATCTGAAGTCACATGGGACTTAGTACTCCAGGCCAGCAGTCCCTGGCCCCCATAGTGGTCTGAGAGGCACAAACAGGAGCCCTGAAGGCCTGCCTGTGCCCCAGCAGATGCCCCCAGGCAGGTCAAACTGCACACATGGAGAGATCTGGCCCCAAGTTCCTCCTCAGTTGGCACCATGGGAACCCTAGGTGTGGGCACGGGGAGGGTCTTTCTGCACAGGGCACCCTCACAAGCGTTTCCCCACCTGCCTGGACACAGCAGCGTCGCCTGCTTCTCCACTCCCAACCCCACGGCCTCCTTCTGCCAGGCAGCAGAAGGCAACTTTGGGACAAACCGGACCACAGTGCCGACCCATCCACCTCAGTGGCTGGCAGACCCAGTGCCCGCAGTGCCTGCCATGCCCTGCCCTCCTGCCTCTCTGTGTGTCCCTCCCTCCCTGTGGAAATGTCACCCCAGTCCCCAGGACCCCATTAGAGACTCCCCTGACACCAGCTTTCACTGCCTTTCACTCGGGAAGTCCCTTTTCTGGCTCATTAGCTCTACCCGCCCCAGCCCAGGGGGGGTCACAGCCTTGCTGTCACTGTCATCACACCCAATACAGATGGAATGGCTTTCTAACCACCCCCTCACCCCCTCCCCTGCTTCAAAGGGGCTCTGAGAGGCCAGGGGTCACTGGTAATGCTGAACAGAGAGAAATAGAATGTGCTGAGAAATTAAAAATGGAGCATTTCAAAGCTTAGGGGAGCCAGAAAACAAAGGGAGCCCCCAGAGCAGCGCTGGGAGGGACGCCTCTTCCCCCACCACAGATACCAAAGATGGAGACAGGGCCCCCGCCGAGAAGCGGGCGTGGGGGGGGCCTCTGCATGCCAGGGTTTTCTGTTCTTGCCTTGAAGAATCTGATGTGTCCTGTGATCCAGGCAGACGTGTGATCCGTGACCTCACAGGCCTTCGTGGGAGGGACGGGGACTGCAGATCCCCGTGGATCTGCACACCTGCAGTGGACTGAGGGGTGTGTCCCCAGGGTCAGTTAAGAACTGGGAGGCCCCGAGGTTTCTCTTCTGAGCCAGATGAGGTTCATGGCGTACACCCCAGGGCGCGCTGTGTGACCCTGGCTGTTCAGGGGAGGCAGCCTCACAGATCTTTCACAATTCAGCTTCTTTGTTGGGTCCCGGGGGCACCCCATGTCCGTTTAGCTCAGTGCTTCTCCAGGACTCATGTCGGGAAGGGCTTGGGAGGCCGACTTCACGATGCAGCCTCAGACCTCCTCTGTCAGAAGTGCAGGGTGTAAGGTAAAGGAAGCAAGGGCCTAGTACAGTAGCCTAACGGCTCAAGTTTTTGCCTTACACGCACCAGGATCCCATATGGTCGCAAGTTCTAATCCCAGCAGCCCTGCTTCCCATCCAGCTCCCAGCTTGTGGCCTGGGAAAGCAGTTGAGGATGGCCCAAAGCCTTGGAACCCTGCACCTGAGTGGGAGACTTGGAAGAGACTCCAGGCTCCAGCCATTGTGGTCGCTTGGGGAGTGAACCATCGGACAGAAGATCTTCCTCTCTGGCTCTCCTCCTCTCTGTATATCTGACTTTCCAATAAAAATAAATAAATCTTTAAAAAGAAGAAGAAGAAGAAGCAGGGCACTGGCCCTGGGCACACTGGGTTGGAGCGGGGGAGCCGAAAACCAACCCAGGGACTTAACCCAAAAAGGAAGCCCTGCCAGAAACCTGCAGAGGAATAAGCAGCCGAAGCCTATGCTACGGCCACATCTGTCGTGATACATGCCACGCCCCAGAGCAGGTCCTGTCCCCCACCCCTGGTATCCCCCAGAAGACACGTCCCATCAACCCCAGCGTGCCCCCAAGAAGTATGGGTACGACCTCTTGCTGCACCTGCCTGGACCACTGAAGGGGATGGGGCAGACAGGAGCACCACAGACAACCCCCCACCCCACCAGGTCATGTAATGCTGTGTCTGTGGGGGAGTCACCTCAGCCAGGAGGTTAGGGCCCCATTGGCGCCGCGGAACTTCTCAGGAGGCGGATGAAGCATTGCCCTGGGATGCACCTCTGCAGCCGTTGACCGGAGCCTGAGTGGTTTTTTTCCATTTGTTTCTGCAAAGAACGCGTTGTTTACCCAGATGACCCATAGCCAGCAGTCCAAGCTCACTTGGCTGAAATAAATCGACAGCCATCCACAGGCCTTGCTCTCAAAACCCCAAAGCGGCAGGGCTGTGTCGTGCAATTGGGATTATTTGCTGGCTCTGGGTTTTACACCACATATAGGATGGGGGTTTTTAGGGAGCCCCAAAAATAAATCCTTAGATTCAATCCTCTGAATGGGGAAGCCCCCTTAACTGGGAACCAGAAAAGCTGCAAGGTGCAAAAGGCAGTGTCACCATGGATATGACTAGGCAGGAAATGCCTCAGCTTAGGCGCCCACGGGTGTCACTTTGGATATGACAGTCAACCTAGGTCCCCAAAGAGGGCCAGGGTTGGGGGAAGTCAGCAGCTGCTGCAGAAATGAACCCAGGTTTTTATCCTGTTGCCTGTAGGACAAAGTCTTTACATTGTAACCCCAAGGTACCCAAGTTGGGCTAGGACCCTGGGCTTTCTCCAAGGCTGGAACTGGCCTCTGCCAGAATCACAGGTGATGTCCCAGCACCTTCAGGGCCTTAAGGTCCCCAGCTCGCACACATTTCCTCACCATAAGAGCCCCTAAATGTGCCCAGTTCTGGGGTTTATGCCAACCACAGCAGTCCCTTCACCCTTGGCAATGAGTCACTGGGGGTTGGGCATGTGACTCAGCTCTGGTCACTGAGACCCCAAGGTGTCTGCCTGAAATCGCCAGGCACGGTTTCCTTCTCAAAAGGCCCAGCTTTAAAAGAAATGATCTGTTCATTTACTTGGAAGGCAGAGTGGCAGAGAGGGCGACAGAGACAGACAAATGGAGAGACACAGAGAGAGCGACAGAAACATGCAGAGAGCGAGCTCCTATCTGCTGGTTCGCTCTCCAAATGGCCACAAAAGCCAGATCTGGGCCAGGCTGGAGTTAGAGGGGATCCAGCTGGGTCGCCCCTGTGGTTGGGTGACCCCTGTGGGTGGGTGGCCCCTGTGGGTGGGTCGCATCTGTGGGTGCCTCAGAGCAACAGCAGGGGGCAGGATGGGAAGCATGTCAGCTGGCACTGCACTAACTCCCTGTAACATCTTTTCTCCCCGTTTGGCCTCAGCTGCTGCTGCTGAGGAAGGACGTGGGTAGGTGCCCTGGGTGTCCTGCCTAGACCACTTCTCCCTGCATCAGAAGCCGCAGCAGCCAGAGATGCCAGAGAAGCAACCCCCCACCCTGTGCCCAGGGCTGATGCGACAGTGCCTGATGGAGCCAGAGTGCTCATTCTGTGAGACTGTTCACACCAGACTGTTCACACCTCAGGGCTCCCCAAGGGTCAGGCAACAGCCCCGACACACCGCAAACTGCATTCAAAAATTTATCTTTGCCCTGCCCAGACATACCTGCCAAGTCTCCCCTAAGAGTTTGTCTTCAATAAACAGTAAGTACCTGGGGCCTGGTGCAGGGTTCAATTGGCTAATCCTTCCCTTGCAAGCGCTAGCATCCCATATGAGCGCCAGTTCACGTCCCAGCTGCTCCACTTCCCATCCAGCTCCCTGCTTGTGGCCTGGGAAAGCAGCAGAGGACAGCCCAAAGCCTTGGGACCCTGCCACCCATGTGGGAGACCAAGAGACTCCAGGCTTCAGATCAGCTTAGCTCCAGAGATTGGGGCCGTTTGGGGAGTGAGCCAGCAGTGAAAATCTTTCTCTCTCCTTCTCTCTGTCAATCTGCTTTTCTTTCTTTCTTTTTTTTTTCTTTATTTATTTTTAAAGATTTATTTATTTTTATTGGAAAGTCAGATATACAGAGAGGAAGAGAGACAGACAGTAAGATCTTCCATCCGATGGTTCATTCCCTAAGCGGCTGCAATGGCTGGAACTGAGCCAATCCGAAGCCAGGAGCCAGGAGCTCTTCCAGGTCTCCCACATGGATGCAGGGTCCCAAGGTTTTAGGCCATCTTTGACTGCTTTCCCAGGCCACAAGCAGGGAGCTGGATGGGAAGTGGAGCCGCTGGGATTAGAACCTGCACCCATATGGGATCCCAGCACATGCAAGACGAGGACTTTAAGCACTACACTATCACACCAGGCCCAATCTGCCTTTCTGATAACAATAAATAAATATTAATTTTTTTTTAAAAGGAGCTATCACCTAAACCCC